CACACGAGCGAAGTGGAATCTCTGCAAAACCCTAAACCCCTAAACCCGAAACCCTAAACCCTAAACCCTAAACCCTAAACCCTAAACCCCTAAACCCTAAACCCTACTGAACTCAAACCTCACAGCCCTAAATCTTCTCGTCTGCAGCCGGGAAGCCTTCGTCGTGGTGGTGGTGGTCTTGGTGGTGGTGGTGGTTTCGGTGGTCGAGGCGGTAGTCGTGGTCGGAGTCGTCGTCTTTTTCGTAGTTTTCGTGGTCGTGTGCTTTGCTTTTGGCTTCTTGTGCTTGTGTGGCTTCTTTGACGTGGTGGTTGTGCGATGCTTGTGATGCTGGTGTTGCCTGTGCCGATGAACGCGCTTCTTTCGAGCCGTCACTGTGGTTGTCGTACTGGTGGTGGTGGTCTCCGTTGTGGTTGTGTTCGTCACGGAGGTGGTGGTGGAGGTGGTGGTAGTCTCTGTTGTGGTTGTGAAGGTGGTAGTGGTGTTTGTAGTAGGCAGAGGAGTTGTTGTCGAGGTTGACGTATTCGTGGCCTGCGGGAGCATGCAGCCGTGCATCACACACGCGTTATCTTGAACCAAGGCTGACATGAAAGATCCCATAACCATAAACCCAAAACCCCTAAACCCCTAAACCCAAAATCTTAAACTCCGAAGCCCTGAACCCAAAATCCCTAAACCCTGAACCCAAAATCCCTAAACCCCAAAATCCCTAAACATTGAACCCCTCCGGCCCTGGCCCTAAGCTCGTCATCCTAAACCTGAAGACTTGACCGTTGTGAAATTTTCTACGCCGAATCCCTGGGACCGTGCACCCTTTAGGGTTTAGGGGTTTAGGGTTTAGGGTTTAGGGTTTAGGGTTTAGGGGTTTAGGGACACTGCCCTAAACTGAACTACTCGTGTGTAGATTTCGCATTATTGTGCGGCACCTATAGACTATATGAAGTCGTCTGCCAACAATGGCCTTCATACATTGGCAGGCTAGCACCTTCTTCTCTGCAAGGTCCTAGCATACAAACGTGGGTTTTGGTCGGTGAAGGTAGGGACTACAATTCTCTGCAGTCACTGTTGTGTTAGGATTTCCACAGCTTGGTGTCATGCGGCAAATCCCCACAAGCATAAAATTCAGGAGCACGAACATATAGGAGTGTCCGAAATCTTAGTTGCTGAGTTCATAAGCACAAGAAGTGTACACTTTCAGCTCCATAAGGGATCATGTTCTCCCAAAAAGTTTAAAGTGCACTCTTTCAGCTACTAAACAAATGGACTTCGTTATACAAACCCCGAACTCAAGGATCCACCTCTAAAAGAAAACCCTTTAGGGTTTAGGTTCCAGGGCCCATCATTTTGGGCAACTCCGGTGATTGAACCAAAGACACTGCAGCCACTACAGCCGGTGCTCGAACTCGAGAGCAAAAATGTCATTTTGCCACCTCCTATGCTAAAGAATACTTGGAGCGGTTTAGGGTTTAGGGTTTGGGATCACAGGACTTAGTAGGGTTATAAGTACCTTTATGGGGGTTGTATAAGTACTTGTGAATATAGTTGGCTTATTTACGGCGTCAGTTATTAGGTCGCATGATCCTTTAAGTAAGCCACCTGCTATAGAAAGGAATATCATCATTGGGATCCTAACGCTGAAGCTCTTCCGGAAAGAGAGCTATTAAGCGCGGCTCGACAATACCCGTCAGAAAGCACACCTGTAGCCAAACACACAAAAAAACAAGCGCGCCGAATAGCACAAAGGTCATGGCGAAAAAGGAAACAGGTGTGGCATTTGTTGAACAGTTTATGCTTAGCATACTGTGCCGTCTATTTCAATACGGTTATCGAGTCCATCGGAGTATGGTTATATGAAGAAAATCGAGGAACATCAGGGTATCTTCGTCCGTACTATTACTTACCTAAACCCTAAAGTGTAAACCCTAGACCCTAAACCCTGAACCTTACTCCGAACCCCAATCTTCGATGCTTGTTCTTGGAGGGTCGGGGGACTTAGCAAGTAGGTAGTAAGTAGACTTATAAGTAACCATAAAGAACTCTAATTGGGGTTATGATACTTATAAGTCTATAAAATAGTTACT